TAACAATATTTTTATACTACATTTATCCATTTTAAATATACTAACCTCACTCCTTTGTAACAACTAAGGCAAAGATGTAATTAATTCAGAAAATCTTTTCGGGACCCCACCTTGATGTTGGTCCCGACCCCAACTTTGGGAAACACTGCTAACAAATAAGTATGTTTATTTTATGTTTATAAAATACTCAAAGTTTTTAGACTACTTAAAAATCCAACATTAATAGTCCAAAGCTGTGGGGAAAAATCTGAAAGAAAAAATCACAATAAAACTATGATTGAGTACAAAACCGTAAAAGATATCAAAATACCAGTTCAGACATGTAAAGTCCAACTCTCTGTGACCATTGTAAATGTTGACTCAGGTTTCTACTGTGAAGTAGGTCTGTGCTATGGAGCTCCAAAGAGGGCTGGATTTTCTCCTGTGTTTTACCAAAACTCTCTTCATAACAAATATTGTTTTTAGTTGCAGTCTTGTTTTGTTTAGTATTTTCTCTACTTGTATGACACAGCATAACCTAATGTCAAAGAACACTCTTCCTGACTGAGATGCATGCTCTGATGTATAATTTCCATGTTTTATTTCAAAGCTGCAAAACGAGACACAGGACTAAACTGGGGGCAGGCGGCACGTAAATTACAGGCCTTCTTCCCTCGACATGACAGTCAATAATCAGACACTAAAGCGCTAATTATTACCTTGAATTCAGACACAGTCTTCCTGATAACCCTGTCCAGTTCCTCAGAAGACACCCTGACGAAGGTGAACTCGATGAAATCGCAGTCGATGTCCTGGGTGCCCACGGTGCCGATGGAGTACGTGCCCTCCTTTTTGTAGTGAAACTTGCCCGTGCTGCGGTGCAGTAAAATGGTGTGCAACAAAGCCAGCATCGCTTCCTCCACCTGCCGAGCTTCCACGGTTACCTCAAGGACTTCCGAGCGACAATTCATGGCCAAATTAAACTTGTTTCCATTTAAAATCCCAAGCAGGGAGACTTTAGCTGACCGAGTTAGAAGCTCACAAGACCTGATGACGAAGCCCTCGAAGGTTGTTTGTTTACCTTTACAAATGGGAAACTATCGAACACCGTTTTCTACTTTAACAAGTCATTAACTTAGGTATTCCGACAACTTTACCTTCACCTATGTGTATTTAACACAAACACAAAACATAGCTAGCTAATGTTTACTGTCATCAGGATGTAATGATGGCAGCAAAATAACAAGACAATCTACGGAAAGCCGCGAAGCACAAAACACCTATTCTGATCACTTTGCCACACCAATATCGAATTTTTGTGAACTTAAATAACCAAACATAGCACTAAATTCAAAACTTAATTGAACTGATCTGGTAAAACTCACACCATAACTCATTAACATAAAATGTCTTCATTTCGTACGACGATACACATAAAAAAAATCGCTGAACGCGTTGCATTGTGGGAGTTAGAGTTTGCGTCATGTATCCGTCTTCCGAATGCAACTTTGTCCAGTCGGACTGAGCAGCAAACCAATCCTAGCGGGATGGACTGAACTCCCTCGACTTCAGGATGTTTTACTGGGACTCTTACTTCAAATCTGGATGTCGGCCGGTGGAGTATAGGCGCAGACTTTGGAAATAAAATCGTTTGTGAAACTTTCGGCGCTCTCTTAGCTAATTGGAAATTGCTAGTTGAACGTACCGTTTCGAAGATTAGCCAACTAAGCTAACACAGGCATCGTAAATGAAAGAAGAGTGACGTTCAGCTGCTCGGTTGTTTAAACCTGCATTTATCTCCCGACAATAGTCTAAATTTTCTACAGGTAGCWACACAGACACCACTGCGTAGCTTTTAAAGTCGCCAGTAGTGCAGTATGAATACTAATAAGCAGAATTTGCATTGGGGGGTTGATATCAGCGCTGTTATCTGTTAGGGCGATATTGATTTCGCCGATCCTTTGATCGATTTGACCGTCATTTACGAAGAGGATGTCAGACTCGGAAAGTTCCAGCTCATATAATTTTGGTTTGGAGGACCCGCAGTGGCTGTGCATGGTGACTCTCTTCATCGTATCCCTGCTTACTCTGGCTCTGTACTTCGCCCAGTATTTCCAGCTCGGGATCGCAGGGAAAAGACAGGGAGCAGCGGAGGACGATGCAGCGGAGGAGGAAGCAGCAGCGCTGCTGAGGTGGGCGCTGTCACTGGGCAGCTTGAGGAGTCAGTGGAGGGGGGCTTGGTGCAAGGCATTGAATGAGGAGTCAAGCAGGAGTGGGGTAAGTGTCACCCCTACCTGTCTCTAATGTGTGGTAGGTGACTCACACACAAAAGAAAGTGCTTGTATGAATCATAAACATCTCCATAAAGACATTCAAGTTTCACTCAGCCTCATAAATTGCCATAAGGGATTATTTTTGCAACAATGGAGCCTTGAAATTGGAGTCCTCTTGCATCACATCTGAACTATCCTCTGTTGTTGTTTTGTTTGTTGGATTTCCCAAGTTAGAAACATGTTGCCAATTTAACACAGTATGGCTTATCAATGGCAGCCTTCACACAATCAGTGCCACTTACGCAAATTACATTTCTGGTATTGGTGCCAATGAGAAACACATTGAAACCCAGCCCTTTTGGCAACTCTATAGTTCAGACCTATTTCACAGCAGAAACATAATTCGAAGTTTAAATAGGTCACAAAAAGTTGGATTTGTGCTAACTGGCACGTTGATATGTTTAATGTTTTGTACACAATCATAGTTTAAAGGGATCCCCGATTAGTTGTAACATTAGACTTTATATGATAACCATTTACTGTAACTGTAAAATAAAGACTGTGAAAATACTGTAGGATGTTAAGTTTTTATTACACGGACGGGGCCATTTTATTTACATGCAAAGCATTCTGGGTAAATGATGACATCAACTAGGTCATCAGTGCGAGGCTGCTAGCGAGCTATATCCACCCTGAAGGTTAATCTTGGACAATATCTGACGATCGACTCTTTTAAATGAAACCAGAGAGCGTTGACAGAGAGGAGAAGGTAGAAATGACTCAGCCTGTAACTGAAAATATAGATGGAGGACAACAGAGCTGCTTCATGGAAGAAGAACCTCAGCTTAGCCTGTTAGCTTTAGCGTTAGCCCCGACGCTATCACCATATACAGTATATGTATTAGCTCAGCGCTACACATTCTCCTCTCATCACTGAGGTCCTCCATCCACATGWCAGAGGGGAACACAAAAATGACTCGGCCTGTAACTGAAAATATGGATGGAGGACCTCAGTTTAGCTTGTTTGTAGCACTAGCGCCGAGCTAATACATATAATGCAATATAGCGTGGGCGCTAGTGCAAAGGCTAACGGGCTAAGCTGAGGTTCTTCTTCCATGAAGCAGCTCTGTTGTCCTCCATCCATATTTTCAGTTACAGGCTGTCATTTCTACCTTCTCCTCTCTGTCAACGCTCTCTGGTTTCATTTAAAAGAGTCGATCATCAGATATTGTCCAAGATTAACCTTCAGGGTGGATATAGCTCACTAGCAGCCTCACACCGATGACCTAGTTGATGTCATCATTTACCCAGAATGCTTTGCGTGTAAATAAAATGACTCCGTCCGTGTTAAAAAATATTTTAAAAAATTTACAAAACTAAACAGCCTACAGTATTTTTACAGTCTTTATTTTACAGTTAAAATAAATGTTTATCAAATAAAGTTTAATGTTACAACTAATCGTGGATCTCTTTAAGTTGAATGTTCAACTGACAGTTGTCATTTTTTGCTTTTAAACTAACATTTTCAAACTAAACCTCTTCTTGCTTCCACYACTCTTATTAATTTACAAATTATACATCAATATATACATTTTAATCTTCTTTAATGCAGCGTATCTCTCACTGTTATAAGACTTGTTCTTCTTTCAAATCCCCCCAGATTGCAGAGTTGTTACAGTCTGTGGACCTATATTTTAGCTCAAAATGTTCTCTTCAAACCTGGACGTAAAAGGTTTTTTGTTATATTAAAAAAAAAACAACCCAAAGAACATTTATGCCAGAGTCCTCTGCTGCTTACCGTTCCAGAATATTAAAGATCCAACTTGTAATTTTCATGAAGCGACCGAGGCTTACTTTTTCAGTCTGCATGTCTGTCTGCCTGTCTTTATTAGGGAGTGACAGACACTGTGTGGTTACCAGGCAATGCACCACTGACACGAGCTTTGACATTTTTTTGCTTCACTTCACACTTATAAAATATTTTAATATCAAAATGTAGCCATTTTTCACAGCTCAGATTATTATACAGTTGCACTGGAATTTTAGGTAGCAGCTGTATCAGCACCCTTCAGATTATTTATTTATTTATTTATTTATTTATTTATTTATTTATTTATTTATTTAATGTTCTAGTTCTTAATATCCATGTCTTCTTGTTCACCAGGGTGCTGTTGTGTTTGTATTTGAAGAGGATGGCCTTGAAGCATCAGAACTCACCATTGACAAGGTGTCCAGCTTTCGGAAGACAGCTCGAAACAAGGTAAACAAAGGGGTGTGCTTTTTTATTTATTTTTTTGTCTGTGTTGCACTTGATTTGTTAAAGAAAATGTCGAGCTCCATTAAACATCTAAATATAACTATTTGCCGTCACATGTTTGCCAGTTATCTTGATGTTATTAGAAAAAAAGTTAAGTCCTGTTTAGATTAGAGTTGAACAAAATAAAAAAAATGTTCAAATAATCACCAGAAAAAACTGTCAACAATTAATATTTGCCACTTTGCAATTACTTGAAATAGTGCCACATGACATGTTAGTGTGCAATGCACTCTCACTGTGATCCTGTGGCATGTTGCGTTACTAAAAATTTGCTGCCACTCCGCATAGGTGAAAAAGTGAGTTTCAATTCACAGCTTACTAATTTAAGTTAGTTCGACTGATGATATGTAAGTTTAATTTTAGATCACAGAGTAAATGACTTAAAGTCGTGTAATTGTCATCTATTAATCATCATATTAATAATTTTCGATGAAATGCCACAATTAATCGTGATTAATTATTTTTCCAGTATCACCTAGTTTTGATCTGGCACTTAAATCCTTTTTGAGTGAAACATTAAATGTAAAATTCCAAAATGGTTTTGCGATTGGAGCTCATTTATCTGCTTTGATTAGCATGGAACATATTTTTTGTGCAGTTTCTTGGTACACCATGCTTAATAAGCCTAATTACCTAACAGATGTAGTATGGAAGAAATATATTATTGAATGACGTCACAGAGCCTTATGTCCAAGCTAAGACAGAATATTCAGTTCAATTCAAAATACTTTATTGATTCCAAAGGGAAATTACATGAGTATTTTAACACATAAACTTCCACTGAAATACTGCAGCCATCATCTGTTTTACACAACTTCTCTGAGAATGTAACATCAGCACTGGGTTTAATTAGACAAACATAAGGGGACAAAAAGCTGCTCAGATTATAGTCCTGTGATTGGTACAGCACATTACAGCCCACAGTGAACAGTACAGGTCCATGAACAATGAGAATAAACTTTAAACCAAAGAGAAACTCATCACATTGCAACCAGATATGATGTAATAAGTGTGCCAGGTCTGTATAATATGGTGCTGTAATTTTGCTTTGAAAATATACCTGAAATGGGAAAATGGTTATAAAGCTTGAACACAGAACTTACACAAACTGCACAAGAAGTAAAAAAAAAACTAATCTTTTGTAGACTGACAACATGGTCCCACTTCTGCTTTGTGTCACAATAAATATTATTGACAGGGAGTTTTGTCAGCCTAAAAATGTGGACATYATTTATGTAACTTCCAGTGAGAAATGACTGGAGGGAAGGGTTTTCCACACAATCTTCAAAGGATGCAGGGTAATCTATTTATACACAAGTGTCAGCCTTTTACAGCTACTTCTAGTTCTCACGTGATTTAGATGTTTACATGATGTATGTTAGCTTTTTTCTAAAACATTTGGATTTTTGTATTGTTTAAAGTTCAATAAAGTAATAACAAACCTTTTTGGCCTTGTATCAATGGTGCCCAAACTTTTCCCCCTAGAAGGTCAAAATGAAAACCTACAGTGGTTTGCAAAAGTATTCATACCCCTTGAACTTTTCCATATTTTGTCACATTACAACCACAAACATAAATATATTTCACTGGAATTTAA